CGTCTTATCAGCAGGCATATGAAGCCTCGAGAAGGCAGCAGTGTCTGTTGGAGCACAATGCAAAACCAAAACGGTGTTGACTGAATCTTAACGCCTGCAAATCATTAATTCAAACAGCACGCTTTAAAAATCTGACGGCGGCCACTTTCAACCTAAAAATTAATCATTTGGGAAAATAAAAGCCTCCTCGGGCCTCCAGCATCCGTGTGAAAATCCTTCTCCCTCTTCAAAGGCCACATGAAAAAAAAATCCCCTCGTTTCTCTCCAGTGCCGACATGAATTTCTGACTCATTAGCATTTATGCAAATGACTTTCTAATTGCAGGCGTAATGACTCTGGCGTGGGAGATTTTTCAATCCGCCATGTTTTTTTGTTGCTGCATGCTTTGCAGGATGCCCCTTTTTTTGTCTTCATTTCTAAAAACAAAAACGATCCATTCTCTTGTTTCCAGACGCTCATCTGACGGGGATCCTGCTGGAGCTTTATGTAACATTTAGAAAGAGTGGGACACTTTTTTTTAAAAAAACAGGCCGCGTTTATCTGAGGCACCGACAAAAGCCAGTTTCTTTTCCTGCTCAGCGCCGCAGTGAAGCTCTGCTACCCGGGTGATTTTTTAATAAAGAAAAAAAGGTGCAAAGGATGCCAAAGGAGGCTCTAACTTCGAGGTGAGTGGGGTGATCTGCAGCCGCAACTCAGTGACGCCCGTCCAAGCCTGTAGCTCCTCTCACGCAATGCATGCAAGCAAAGTGGAAATGCAAAATGGCAGCACGTGAATAATTATTTTGAGGATTGTAGATTTTATTTTTAATCAAAGAATCAAAGACAATTAAAAAGCTGACCAAAGTTTAATTGTGAAAAGAAAAGCCAGCGCTTGCTCTCATGGGAAAAATTAAAGGTTTGACCTTTGACAGAAATATTTATGACCCAGATCTGCGGAATTTAATGTCCTGCAGTAGAGATGTTAGTATTTATGTAATGCAATACGTTGCCTTTTGTCTCTGTTCACCACCAGACACCTTTAGTTTTTCATTTTCCACTACTGCTCCCAGTTAAATGAACTATTTAGAAAGAAGCTGGTGT